CCCGCGGACCCTCCGCGGACCACCCTGCCCCTCACCCCCCCCTCGTAGCCTCATGGAGTAGAACCCGCCTATTATATCTACTCATATTCATGCCGAATCTGCCAACAAAAGCACCACTCGATGCTGCATCTTGACTCGGACTCTTCTTCGTTAAATACAATTACTGTACCGATAAATTCAACTGCGCAATCAGAAGAAAATCAGTCGGAGTCCGTAACTGCTCTATTCTCTACGTCTAAAATACCCGTTCGATCGCCCGTCTTACTAGCAACCGCTCGCGTAACCGTTGGTTCGCTTCAAGGTCGCACTCTCCGCGTGCGAGCGCTCCTCGATCAAGGGTCAGAAATGACCTTCATTACGGAAAGGTTAGCGCAATTATTAAAATTACGTCGCGTTCAAATGCCTATTTCGATTTCTGCCGTCGGATGTGTCAATGCGGGTACGTATCGTTATGCCGCTCAAATTCAAATCACTCCGATCAACGAATCAACTCAAGTTCTAACGACGACAGCGTCGATTCTCAAGTCGTTAACTAAGTATTCTCCTGTTTCCGCAATCTCGCGCGAGAAGTGGAGTCATTTGGCAGATCTAAATCTCGCCGATCCTGATCCTACAAGTACCGACCCGATTGATATAATTCTCGGCGCGGATCTTTATGGCGAAATTATTCTTAACGGAATTCGAAAAGGTCTCATTGGACAACCCGTCGCGCAAAATACAATTTTAGGATGGATCATTTCCGGTCCGACTACCGCATCTCAGTCGTCGCGACAAACAGTCACCGTTTAGCACTGCTCGAATTCGGGAGCTCTCGATCAGGAACTTAGAAAATTCTGGGAAATCGAAGAAATCCCGCGTCAAACATTACTCAGTCCGGAAGAGCAGCAATGTGAAGATCATTTTGTGAACACGCATTCGCGCGGTGCTGACGGGAGATATATCGTGCGTCTTCCGTTAAAGCGAGGCCCTCCGATCGACATCGGTGACTCATTTGCGATTGCCGAGCGTTGTCTCAAAAGCCTTCACCGTCGATTCAATTCGAGCTCCACTCTTAAATCCGAGTATGCCGAATTTCTCCGGGAATACGAGTCTTTAGGGTACATGTCCAAAGCCCCAAACATGGTCTCTTCACAGTGCGTATATATTCCGCATCATCCGGTCATACGAGAGAGCAGTCTCACAACGCGTTTAAGAGTGGTGTTCAATGCTTCGAGTTTAACGATCAATATGACATCATTGAATAATCATTTGCTTACCGGTCCGAAACTTCAGACCAATTTGTCCGCGGTCATTCTCCGATGGCGACAATACCGATACGTCTACTCCGCGGATATAGCAAAGATGTATCGGCAAATTCGTGTTGACCCGCGTGACATTGACTATCAACGAATTCTTTGGACCGAAAACCAAAATGAGAAAGCGCAACCGTATCAGCTCACAACGGTAACTTATGGCACCGCGTGTGCTCCGTTCTTGGCTCTGTGCGTTATTCGACAATTAGTCCACGACGAAGGTCACTCGTTTCCTATGGCCGCGTCAGTTTTGCAAGAGAATATCTACGTCGACGACGTGCTCTTCGGCGCAGATGACATTCCTTTTCTGCGACAACTCCGCACTCAAGTGTGCGCGTTATTGAATCGAGGCCAGTTCGATTTGAGAAAATGGTCCAGTAATTCAGCGAAATTGTTAAGCGACATTGATCCCGAGGATCACGGATTGGCATGCAGCAAAACTCTACAAACCGATGACTATCTCAAAATTCTCGGTCTCATTTGGGATCCACTCGTGGACGCCTTCAAATTTCGAGTCAATCTCCCGAAATCAAGTTCAAAAACCAAGCATTCAATTCTAGCTGATATTGCTAAATTCTTTGACCCCCTAGGGTGGGGCACACCTGCTACGATTACTGCAAAAATTTTCTTGCAGCAATTGTGGCAGCTCAAAATCGACTGGGACGACATCATTCCAGATTCACTCCTGAAGCAATGGGAGACCCTTCAACAGTCCCTGGCGGACTTCAATGACCTTCAGATGAATCGTTGGATTCAGAAAGGCTCCGACACCGCTCATTGTGAGCTTCACGGGTTTGCAGACGCCTCCACGAAAGCTTACGCCGCGGCGATCTACATTAGACTAGTCTCTTTGGCCGGTGAAACGACATCGATGCTACTCGTCGGGAAATCAAAAGTCGCGCCAATTAAATCTTTAAGCGTACCGCGGTTAGAGTTAACAGCAGCCGTGTTACTGTCTCGATTATTGGAGTTCGTGCGATCCTCGCTTAACCTTTACATGATTCCGTGCTACTGTTGGACCGACTCAACTGTCGTGCTCGCGTGGTTGGCCCAACACCCTTCAAAATGGAAGACGTTTGTGTCGAACCGCGTCTCCGAAATTCAATCTCGAGTTCCCTTTGCGTCATGGCGACACGTTGCTACTGAGGAAAACCCGGCTGATTGCGCCTCTCGTGGCATCACCGGTTCGCAACTAGCTTCTCATCAACTATGGTGGCACGGACCCGCTTGGTTGCGAAGTCCTGCTTCCGAATGGCCATCTCCCATTAAGTCGCCTCCGCCTGAAACTTCCCTAGAAATTAATTCGCGTCTCACGACTCACCTCACGCAATCCGTCGAACCGTGGGATCTCGCGACGCGTTTCTCGTCATGGCCGAAGCTAATTAGAGTAACGGCCTATGTACTTCGGTATATTTCTCGACTCCGTAAACACTCTCGCTCACCCACTGAGCAGGCGGAAAGCCCGTTGTCTCTCTCCGGAGAAGAATGTCAGTACGCGAAAATGTTCTGGCTCACTCGCATTCAAAAGGAACTATTCCCCCGCGAAAGGGACGCGCTGCTACGAAAGAAGCTGATCTCGTCGAAGAGTCCTCTCCTCTCTCTCAATCCGTTTCTCGACGACGATAAAATAATTCGTGTTGGCGGGCGGTTGTCGCACGCGTCTCTTCCCGCACGGACGAAACATCCTATTGTCTTAGCTTCTCATCCTCTAGTTATATTGCTGCTTCGTCACGCTCATTTGCGAGCCCTTCACGCAGGCACCCAACTCACACTCGCGACGATTCGCCGAGAATTTTGGGTATTGCGCGCTCGAAATCTCGTAAAAAACGTAATTCATCGCTGCATTGTTTGTACTCGCGAAAAGGCTAGCGTGCCCACACAAATCATGGGCGACTTACCTCGCGTTCGAGTTAACCCCCCCGCTCGCGCTTTTCTCCACTGCGAAGTGGATTATGCCGGCCCCGTGTTGATACGCGCCTTGTCAGGCAAAATCATCGCAACAACAGTTTTGGCCTATACTTGGCTCCATTATTCCATATGATAATGTTTTTATGATTGGGCTTTATCAAGGCAATGAAAAACCTGAGGATGTTAATGATTTCTTAAAAGATTTTGTCAATGAGGCTACAGAAATATGTCAGAATGGTATTAACATCAATGGTCAACATATTGCATGTCGCATTGGAGCCTTAATTTGTGATACACCAGCAAAATCATTTGTTTTGTGTATCAAAGGACATTCTGGATATTCGAGCTGTACAAAGTGTACTACGGAAGGAGAATATGTAGGAAATCGAATGTGTTTCCCACAACTTGACGCACCACTTAGAACAGATGATAATTTTGTACAAAAGATAGACGATAGTTATCACAAGCCTGGTACAACTTGCAGTTTGTTGAGAATTCCTTATTTTAAACCTGTTACAAATGTGCCATTGGATTACATGCACTTGATTTGTTTAGGAATAATGCGGAAATTATTGAATTTATGGCTTAATGGAGAATTAAAATATCGATTACAACACAGAGCCGTGAACGAAATTTCTTCACGTTTAATGTTATTAAAGCCATCGATACCTGTAGAATTTGCACGAAAACCTCGAACATTGGATTCTGTAAAATTATGGAAAGTCACAGAATATCGATTAATATTATTGTATACGGGTCCACTGGCATTTAAATCCATATTAAAGAAAAATGTATACATACATTTTATGACATTACATGTCATTGTAAGGATCTTGTCTTCTATGGATTTACATGAACACCTAAACTATGCACAAGATCTGATTATTTTTTTTATCAAAACATTTGTACAACTGTATGGAGTTCAACACATATCACATAACGTTCATTATCTTCTTCATCTGGTGGATGATGTCAAAAGATTTGGACCTGTTGATAACTTTAGTGCATTTAAATTTGAAAATTATATGCAGACACTTAAAAAATACTTGCGAAAAGCGGAAAAACCGTTACAACAAGTGGTGCGAAGATACACTGAAAAAGAAAAGAACTTAAATACTTTGTCTGCTGCTTTATCACATTCTGATTCAAAACATCCTCATTTAACGTCGTTACATTTCAATGGTCCACTTATACAGAATTGTCACAATCCACAATATAAAGTTATTAAATTTAACGGAATGACATTTAAAGCTGGAACATTAGTTGATAGCTGTTGTGGCTTAAATTGTGGTGCAATTGTCAGTATAAAAAATGTGGCTTTTTGCGCAAAACGGAATACTTCTGTCATTATTGGACAAGAATTCTTGAGAAAAGATCTATTTATTGTTCCGTGTTCATCTTCCTTGCTTGATATTTATTCTGTTCATTCTTTGTCTGACTTGAAATCATGGCCACTTCGAAATATCGTTAAAAAATATTTTCTATTACCAGATGGTAATAATGAAAAAAATAATAAAATTGCCGCTTTTCCTCTTATGCATTCCAACGTTTAAATCTTACATCTACTTTTACGCAGAATGGCTCACAAGCATGAAAAATACATAGTTGTGGAATTCGAAGACGGAATCCAAATCATATCTAGAACTTGGTTGAATAATGATTGTACAAAAGCTAAATGGCCCGATTGTTATGTAACTTATACGAGATACGATAAAGCAGTTAGATTAATGGAAGAACCTCAAGCCACTTGAAAGGAACATACTGTTGTGAAAATATTTACATCATGTTGTAAGTAATGTTATATTTTATGTATTACTTTTTGGGACTTTTTTCATGTATATATTTAATTTATTTATTATTGCGGAAAATGCTTATTACGGTATCATTTTTTTAGCTAACTATGCACAGGCACAACAAAAATTAAAACTAGCTGAAGATTTATCTGATGTCAATACATGTTCTGAAAAAGAAGAATATTTAAAAAAGTCACGTAAAACCAGAGTAGCAAAAGTATATTCAAGTTCTGACAACGAGAGTGAGTTATCTGACGAAGAAATAGATTTATCCCTTCCAAAACCTCCAAACAAACAAACTGACAATAGAAAAATATCAAAAAAAAAGAACTTCAGCCATATTTACGTAAGTAATATAAACCGCAGAGAATTGAATGCAAAACAAATTTTTATTTCAATAAAAATTTATTCGCCGATCTCAAGTACAATTATATTACAATGTAACATTTGTAAAATATTGAATTTCAATGAAAATAAAATATAAATCGAAATAGACGAATAAATTTGTATTTAAATTAAGAAAATTATATTTTATTTATTAATAACACTTTATTATTTATTCGTTATTTCTTATTTAAAAAATTGACCAACTCATTAATTTTGCATCCAATGCTGAGTGTACCCCATTTTATATTAAGACATCTAAATAATGCTTTAAAAATCTAAAGTTTAAAATTTTAACTTTTCTACTTTTTGTTATAAATACCTAATTTCTAATTATAAATAATAATGACAATGCAAAAAAAATAAAT